CAACAGATATTAGTGGCAGTAATAGAGGGCCCTAAATTCAAACTTTAAGGGCCCCATGGAGGCCTAGGGCCACCCCTGGCTTCAACTGTTGGCCGTCTGCTTCTTCCAACTTCAACTAGCTGGTTTTCAACTTCAGCCTCAACTTCTCCATATACAACAATCCATTACGATCTGCACCTTAAAGATTATTTTAATCTTTATGAAAAACTAGAATAAAGTCGAACAAACAAACATATTTTGAGTTCAATTAGTTGATCAACATTTCTTTAGCGACGGGTTGTATTTAGCTAAGGCCAATCAGCATCAACAATAGGAATGGAACCCTGAATGAACTGCTAGAGATCTTTAAAGGAAAGAATAGGCTGAGGAAAATATTTTTGTATTTTCCAAGCACCTTAGTTCACACAAACACACTTTAAGCATGATTAATAATGTTTTCCCAGATGTTGGACCCCCAACCTGGAACCCGTGGGCCGTAATCTTGGCCTCAGTTTACATGAAGAACATATTAGTCCTTGAACCTTGTGTTCTGTATACGGGAAGCGGTTTCAGAGTTAAACAAGCTCTTCACAATGTGCCACACAGATTCCTACTGCTCTAAAAACACTTTACTCATTCTATTGTCTGGCAAAGTGGTGCATGACAGGTTGATGTTTAAAAGTACCCCATTTCCACTTTTTGTTCACGTTTCCTCTGACAGTGTGACAGGCATGATAAGATGTTGGCACTAGTGCCTTATTTCTATTAGTGTGGGCTGGTTAATAAAAAGAAAAAAATCTGAGATTGGACTCTAGATGGCGCTGCTGACAACTGTTGCTTCTATGAACCTGATCTGTTTTATAATAGAGCTTCATGCCAGGTGAGGATTTACATCCAACAAAGATTTTCTGCTTGCAGTTAAAAAAAATTCTTAAACATGATCAAATAAACTTTTGGATATCTTTGAATATGATTTTTTTTGTGAAAATACAGAGAAAAAAAACTTTCAGAAAGTTTTCCCAAGTTTTTTCTCACATTTTCATCATTTTCACATGTGTACAGCAGGAGGGGGGGTTACGGTGATGCAAACTTCACAAACTCGCACATTTTATTGCACTTGCACATCAAATTTGATGTTCAGTCATTTTGTTTATTTGTGAATTCTTTATTTTAAACATGCACACTGTCATATGCAATAATTGTCATTTGGTTCTGAGCAGCATTGTAAATTGTAAATACTGTTGATTGTATATACTGGGGGTTGTATATACAAGGGATCAATAAAGTGATTCTGATTAATAAAGTAATTTCTTTAAGTAAATATTTAAGTAAATAATTTAACATTAAAATAGTCACATATGTTCATTGGTTTTTAGTCGATGTAACAATTAAATGGGGATAGTGTAAAAAAAATTTAATTTATCTTGTAACTAATTGGAAGGATTTGTCTTAAAAGAGTTTTATTTGTACACCGTACAAAACTGTGAGTGACTCCTTAGGAGAAGAATATTAACTGGCATTCTAAAAACAACGTTTTCAACTTACGGTTGATGATAAGAGCAGAACAAAGGAAATCTAATCTCTCTAATGGTGTGCCGTGGGAAGGCTGGGTTTAATGCTTGAAATCTAGCTCTATGTTTGGTTTTTAATACTTTTACAGTTAAAATGTCAAACTCAAACAAATATATTATTTCAAAACTGAAAAGGCCTTCCAGAGGCCTGTCAGCCACAGTGGGATCCTCCTTTCTTACAAAGTCGGACAGAGGAACAGCTTCAAAGTTCAGTTTTAAACCCTATGTTTTTTGTGTTACTAAGATTTTGTTTTATAACATTAAAAAATAGATATTTCATGATTCTTTGCAAATTTTTTTTGTTTATTTTATTTCAGATTTCTTATCACACCCACTTTAAAAAACATGGTCCTAGACAGAGTCCCGTATGGAGCTAGTTTACCATTACCTTTTTTTATTCTTGAAAGTATTTACGGATCAGTGCTTGTTGCTTGTATGTCTGCTTCTTTCTCCTTGTACTCCCAGCCTCTTTAGGGGAAGGCTACTCACACTGAGCCTGGTTCTCCTGGATGTTTCTTCCTGTTATAATTTAGTTTTTTCTCTCTACTGTTGCTGTATGCATGCTTGGTGTAAGGGATTGTTGTTGGGATCAATGACAGAATGCAGGCAAATATGCTCATCCTGTAGGAGTGAATCCTGCAAAGTCATTGACTGGATGCAATCAGCTGGTTTTCCTTAGAATAGTTTGAACCAATCTTACTGGATGATCTGATTTAGTTTTATCCGTGAAGTGCTTCGAAATTACATGTTGTGAATTGGACCATATAAATAAACTGAATTGAATTGAAAATGTCTAAGTTCACAGATGTTTCCTAAAAGGCTTTTTCTTATCTGGTTACAGTCAAACACAAAAAATCTTTTACAACAAATAGACATTTTACTGGTTTGGGCTTATTATCAAACCTGTTTATATTTTTCACCTTAATGTGTTTTCATTCTAACCATATCTGTGTATTTCTAGCTGTATATTTGGATTGGTCCTGTTTTTTTCCCAATTTTCCAGTTGACCGATTCCACAGCATGATTCTATCTCCACTGTGTTTCATAGTGGGTGTTGCATTCAGGGTCAAGTTACTAATTTTGTGTGAATTTGGTCTCATCTGACCACAGTAAGGTCTCGGTGTGATGCTTAGTTGCCAACTTGAAACAAGATTTCTTAATGACTTTTTTTAACCTGATGAATATTTGTTTTATTAAATTACTTGTTTTATTTAATTGATTTGTAGTTAATGTATATATTTGTTTTATGTAATTTGCTGTTTTATTGATTTTATTATATAATGTAATTCATAATCTAAAATGTAGTTTTAATTGTATAACATTTAATTATCTGATTGTGCTATTTACAATTTATTGGTTAAACTGATATTTGATCTACATGTTAGATAAATAAATGAATAACAAAATAAATGATACATCAACTTATTTCGTGAGACATTCAGATTTATGTGTTTCATGATATATTATGGCCTTCATACACCTCTGGAAGCATATCACAATAATTGTGGAAACCATCCGGCGACCCATCTAACAGTACTGTAGATATTGTTTGTAAAAGTGCTTTACCTTGTTTTATAAATTACTTGATGTAATGGAAAAAAATGGAGAAGAAAAAGTTGATTGAATTATGAATTAGTTTCAATGAATCATATTATTTATATGGTTTTTAGTTTTTTAAAAACCCTACCACCATCCACACATTACATCTGTCTAATGACATAATTTCTTGACAGCTCAGATGTTATTATACAGTAATTACTTAGTACAAGAGTAGCCTATTTACTCTTTTTTTTTTTTACTCTTACGTAATTTCTTTGATGACTACTTTTTACTTTTACTCGCTTATAAATGCTGGAGTATAGCTAATCCTACCTCAGTAAAGTTGGCTACTCTGTCCACCAGTGGTGGTTCTACACTGAATATACCAGGGGGCCAGGAGGGGGCCAGCGTATTTTCATGGGGGCACAGAGAAGCATAAAATAAAAAACAGGTCAAGGGATCAAATATCTTAGGATTGCTGCTAGAAGTGACACTTCTATTTAATTAGGTTTCATTAAAATTCTAGCTTATTAGGTCAACATTAAGACATAGAATATACATTCATAATTTATGAATTTTACATATTTTTGACTTAAGTTAAAATTACATTTTCTATAAAATCTGAATTAGAACTTAAGAAAAACTGTTAAATCCAGCTGTATTTTATTTTATTTTTTTTTTGAAAAAAAAAATAACATTTAGCAGATGAAAACTGGGATCATATGTAGGCTAATGATAATTACTAAAATAGAATTTGTAAAGAAAAAAAAATAATTAGATCCAAAGGATCTTCTGAAGGATCTATTAAAGTAACCACATCTGTTCTATCGTCATTAGAATTTTTTGAGTATAAGTCTTCAGTATCTTCAGTACAGGGGCAAGGATATGATCTACAGGGGCACTGGCCCCCGTTGGCCCCTGTCTTGAACCGCCCATGCTGTCCACCTCTGATTATAACTAATTGTTCGACTGGTGGTTATACGTTTAATCAGTAAGCGTTTGAACGCGTCCTGAAGTCACGGAGTTCTAAAGTCCGAGCCTGTGAGAGGACCTTGAATGCAGCACCAAACTCCTCTCAGGCTACTTGTTAATCGTCACAGAGCGGCAGAGTTCAGAGTTACCGATGCAGGAAGGTGTGTGTTTGTGCTTCACTCAAAACTCTCAGGAGAAAACTTAACGGTTAGGCTGTTATTTTCTTCTTCTACGGCGTCCTTTAAAAACAAGTGTTTTAGTTTCCTGTTTGTATCTTAATTGGATGCGAGTGTTGATGTAAAGGGCAGCCCCGGTGTGACCCAGACATGGCTGAGGCTCCCCCACCGCAGGTACAGCCTGTCGACATCGACCCGGACTTTGAGCCGCTGTCCCGGCCGCGGTCCTGCACCTGGCCGCTGCCCCGGCCGGAGCTGGTGGACCCCGCCGGGTCCAACACATCCTCCCCGGCGCCGTCGGTGCAGCAGGACTCGGGAGGAAACGCGGATTTCATCTGCAACCTGGGCTTGTTGGAGGAGAACTATGAAGAATACACGGAGGAGAAACCTCATCGCAGCGCCTTCCATCAACCCCACCACCATCATCATCATCACCTGCAGCAGCAGCTGCCAGGTCCGCAGCTGCTGCCGCAGCAACAGGTGTCTCCCCCTGCGGTCCCTCCATTAGGGGCCTCCGGCCAGAGGAAAATCAGCTCCTCTCGTCGTAACGCCTGGGGTAACATGTCTTACGCTGACCTCATCACCAAAGCCATCGACAGCTCACCTGAGAAGAGGCTGACCCTGTCCCAGATCTACGACTGGATGGTCAAGAGTGTGCCCTACTTCAATGATAAGGGAGACAGCAACAGCTCTGCGGGCTGGAAGGTGAGATAATCCCTGAGACCATGGGAGAACTGAGATTATTTTAATCCCAACTACAAGTTTTAGTAATCCTGAAACAAACCACAGCAGTTCTAGCAGGGAGGTCAGATAATCTCTAAAGCAGGAGACGATGCTTTCACACAGCATTACCCCTAACTAGTGGGTATTCATTTATATATGTGGCATTTAATGGGAGAATGATTACCTTTAGGTCTACTAGAGATCAGCGTGAACATACAAAGATGAAACACGGTGTTGGCAGCATCATGTTGTAGAAAGACTAAAAGTTAAGCTGAATGCAGGGCAGTCGTGAAGGGAAACCAGATTAAAGACTTAAGGCTGAGAAGAATTTCACGTTCCAAAGGGACATCGGCCCTAAAGAGGCAGTGGAAAGGCTTGGATCTAAGCAAACTCGTGTGGCCTAGTCAAAGTCCAGACATAGATGCTTTTTTCCCCCCTGCAGATGCTCCCCTTCCAGTCTGATTATGCTTGACTTCTAACAAATCAAATCCAGGTGAAATATTTAATAGTTTTAAAACCATCGCTGCTAAACAATCCTGCAGGATAAAATAATTTTTTAAATTTCCTCTTTTACAAAACCTAGAAAGCAGACATGTCGTCATGTCTGCAAAAGCATAATTTCTTTTTTGTTATACTGTCCCACCTGGGGAGGAAATTACTCAGCAATGATAGTTAGAAATTAACCGACAGATAAAAGCAAAAAAGACGAGGCAAGTCCAAGCCTGCAGAGAAAGCATGAGTCAAATTGACTTTTCGGGCCTCACGGCTCTGACCACAACCTTCATGCAATCTCGGGAGATGTAATTTCAAAGCTGTCAGGAAATGCCTTTGGGAAACCTCAAGCAAATATAGTTCCCATTGTTTAACACCCCATCATGAATGGCGTCTCATGCTCTCACTCTCCTTTCCTCCCCTTTTTCTCAATCTACACCTTTGTACATGTAAGGGTGCGCTGGTTGATGGGGATTTAGTTTCCTTCTGTTAGGAGCTCCCTGGGCAATAACAGGAGACGACGCAAACATCTCAATCAGAGTTGTGGAGTGTGTCGGAAGGGAAGGGAAGGAGGGGGGATCGACGTCAAACATCCTCCATTCCTGAGTTGTGTGTTCATATCTCTGTGTCCGTGTCTTCTAGAGTTTCCTCAGCGGATGCTAAAGCTTGGAAAAAAGGGTTCCCCCTCTTAATCCCATCGCTTCCTTTGGTTTCCTCTCTGGCCTTTTGCTAGAGGTGTTGGCGACTCTTTGTTTTAACTACAGAGTTATACCTTTTTAATAATTATTCGCACCCAACATGTGATTTCTTCATTTTTCCTCCCTCTTATCTACCAAGAAATCAACTTCCTCAGTTCCATATCAGCACAAGAATATTTTCTCTTAACTTGGAATCCACTCTCCATAAAGAACCAATTAAAAACAAACTCTGGAAAAGATTTTTCATATCCATAGCAAAAGCTCCAGCCTGTCTGTTTTATATGAAATCAACACATCTTTCCTTCAGTCTCTGCATTCCTGAATCTTGGCACCGACGCCAGGCTTAGGAACCACAGGCTGATAGTTATTTTTGCACTTCCTTGTTAAAAGAAAAAACACTGAAGTCCCCCCGTCACAATGAACTACTGTATGATGCATTTCCTGGTTAGTGGATGAAAAACAGGGCCATGTGTTAACATCTCCAAGCCGGCAAAACATGAGAGGTCAGTGGTGGAAAAAACAGGAGGGATGTTTGGTGCGTCGCAGAGAAGCTTTGATGTTTTTCACACTTTGTACCAACCACAAACTTTCATGGATGTTTATGGCTGCAAAATACTTTTTAGCACATTGGCCAGAAGTTTTTTCCTCCATGTTTTACTGAATCCCCTTTAAATGTCTTCCTTTAGTGATGCGATCACCACATTCAAACCCGAGCGCATGGTTGGGCACCCTCCATTTTTGTTACTCTGTGCCAGCGCTGCAACTGTCAATTCTTTTAGAAGTTTAGTATTAAATTATTTTTTTTATTAGTCTACAAAAATATATTTTAAGTTAATTAAGCCTTCTAAATAACAAATATTTAAATTTTAGAAAAAAATCCAACCTTTATTGCATATTTCATATGAACTGTAAACGACAGAAGCATGTAAAAAAGGTGCTAATTAGGGATGTATTAAAAAATT